TATATGAGCCCAACGGCCCAGATTGAATCTAGGCCGATCTGACGGTCATGACCTCATTTTGTGTTTGAATTTTAATTTTTTTTCTATAATTCCAAATCGTTTGAAATTTTAGGACCCTGGCCAGATTGAATCTTGGCCGATCTGACGGTCGAGAGTGTTTGAATTTTAATTTTTTTTCTATAAATCCAAATCACTTGAAATTTTGCGATAACATTCTTCTCATCAAGCCGCCCTTAGTAAAAATGTAAAAATAATAATAATCCATCAAATTAAAATAACCAAAATACCCCAAAAAATTTATAGGGTATTTTGGTCATTTTTTTCATGTAAAATATTTTTTTAATATTTTTCCAATATTCGCCTTTTATTTATCAACACACGTCTAAAATTTCAAGTGATTTGGATTTGTAGAAAAAAATTAAAATTCAAACACTATCGGACATTCTTAATCATTAGATCAACCTAAATTTAATCTGGACCATTGGACTCATTTTTTCTTGTAAACCCAAACCTTTTCCATATATATATATATATATATATGAATGAGTGGGATCACATAGAAAGCCATCCCCTATCCAAAACCCCGCTATATATATATTAGTTTGCCCATAGTCTCGTTTCTTTTATCAATATCAACCAATTTTGTTGTTAATTTTCTTGACATCATGAATATTAAGCAAATTTGCATCTAGATTGATTTGGGACATTTTTTTGTATCCTAAATCTGACTTGTAAGAGGGATTTCAAAAGGGGACCACATTTGAATAAGACCTCGTGTATTCTTTCCGTACATGTGCCCAACCCAAATAGTTCAGACAGTTTTGTCGATGGTGATATACACTTTCGATTTCTTTTTATGCGAAGTGTAGATCTTTGAATGAAAATAACTAGGCCAGTTAATCGGCCATGCTAGTCCAGAGCTGTGAACCGTGCCTTTTGCGTGGGTGGGCTGGATCACGAACTCTTAACAGCCTGGAACGGGCTAGGCCAGGCCCTGATTTCCTCAGCCGCACCCAGCCTTACAGGCCACATATATTGGCTCTGGCACAAGCTAAAATCAGGCTGGGCCAAGCCCAACAGCTCGCATGGCTCACTCTACCATATTGCACTTAAATGGAGGTTGCTTTCGTCAACTGACCCAGATAATCACTGCAAGCAAAAAGGTAGAATGTAAGCACAATGAAAGGCTTTGCCACAATGGCTTTGTCTATAGCCCTTTTGCATACACCCTTTTTTGGCAAATGAAACATTTGCGTCGTGACAGCTTTCCATGCCCACTTCTAAATGAAAACTTGATCATGCTAAACATATATGACAAATCCTTGCAAATCATTTTCATCAGTAACCATCAACTGCATCAGACAAACATGCAAACCTTTTGACATCTCGTGATAACCGACGTCAACCTAATAAATTAAGTCCAAATAGACATTAACCTTTGCTACTAAGACGCAGTAATAGATATGGGATTGTATACTATAAGACCATCCATCTTTTGGGTAAAAATGTCATAATTAATCCTAACCATTAAATGTCAAATTAAACAGTTTAACATATAAAACAGAGTTTGAAAAAAAAAATTTAATAACTTTGAACCTAATCAATCACACACTCACGGTCTTCCTATTTCACATCTAACCATCATAAATGACTCTGATCTCCTCTTACAAAAGATAAATAGTCATATTGTATATGTCGCCTTCTTAGTAGATAAGATGGGTCTCCAAGGCAAACCAACGATTAACAAAAACTGAGGAACTTTCAAATCATTTATAATATTGAACCATATAGAGCCATAGCAAGCTAGGACCAAAGACAGTAATAAAACAGGCACCAACCAATCCCAAGTTAAAGTATATTACAAAAGCTAGTCAATATTGGGTGATTGGAACAAAACCCAAATTGTTATCTTTTCTTAAACCCATATTTCTTTCTTTCATAGAAGAGATCAGTCTTAGCACTACCCAAGTTCACAATCTTGGGGCACCCATCTCGGTCCTTCTCCTGTTGGGTGCACTCCTTGCAATAGTATGCATCTGAGATGCCAACTCCTCCGCATATGACACATCGTCCTTGGAAAGAGCCATAGTTGCACTCGTCGCATACACGCACAAGCGTGCATGGACGAACATAGGAGTCGCAAATCACGCACTTGCCATCACACTTCTCACAGAGACGCCCGATTGCTATCCCTGGTTGCTTTCGGCACATTATAAGATCAGGGTGGTGCTTGGCCATGACTTCCTAATGAGATTGCGTGCTTTCCTCGCTGCCTCCCTGCATGGACAGTTCGTTTTTTCTTGAGTATAACTAACAGGTCATTTAAATGTAACTAAGGAAAAACTAGGCTAAGTTGAGAGCAATTAGTAAAATATTAAAGCACTCATCATCTAATATTAAACAATGACAGATAGGCGAGCAGAGTGCATGCGTTAAGCAGCATCGAGAAAATCACAGAGTGCTAGACAATATTGAAGCAATCACCATATAAATATGCAGCTATTCCAAATAAAAGGTGCACTTACCATTTGTCAAGGAAAAAAGGGGAATGCTCAAATAAACTTGGTTAAAAAATAGAAACATGGATTCCCTGATTGTTTTTTCACTTTTTCTCCCTGACAAATTTTTGATACGTTACTTCAGCCATTAAAACGTCCAGGACAGTCGCAGATTGGAAAACATTCTCTCAAATCAGAATGATGATCGTCATCAAGCTCAATAGGATCATTTCCTTCAAAGTTCAAACACTAAAGAAAAATGACAGTTTTTTTCTTCACCAAAATACCTGATCTGCAACTCAGACGAGGTGTAATTTCTACCCTCCTAAGCACCTCAGATAAGTTTTGAATCATATCCTTTCCAAAGATATAATTATTAAGTCGTGCTCTGGTTGAATGTTTAGAAACAAACTTTGATAAACTAAAAAGTGTTAAGCAGATAAAAATGGAAATACCTATAATTAATATAATAAGATAATAAAATACTAGTGTAGCAAGAGAAGCATATATTTCTTTTTCTGGGTAGTTCAGGGGTAGGACTGAACTCAGGACAAGTATACAGAAAAAAATGATCTAGTGTTAAGACTAACCCTCACCAGGCCCCTTGATTTTTATTTTTTTACTTTTTCAAATTTTTATTTTTGGTTAGTTGGCTAGGAATCGAATAAAGGGGGTAATATGATGGACTGTTTCTGGAATATAGAAATCTGGTGCAGCTGATTGGACGAACACAATCTGCAGATGATGGAAATTGATCTGAACATGCAATCTTTTATTTGTCTCATTAATGGTTCTTTTCTTTTTTTTTGATCTGAACACATGCAATCTTTTATTTTTCTCATTCATGGTTTTTTTGTGTGTGTGTGTGGG